TCTAACATATTTAACATAATAGTCAATAGCAGAGGTGGTATTCAGCAGGTTCTGACCAGTTCTGGAGAACCGGTAGCGGAAATTTTGAGTAGTTTGGAGAACCGGCAAATACCTCCTCTGACTGGCCCCTCCCGCATCTATTCTCTGCCTCCCAAGTCCCAGCTGATCAGCTAGGTCTTCTTTTGTTGCCCTGCACAGGAGAATGGAGCTGGAAAGCAGGTTAGTGGGGTGGGGGGGGAATGGGATTTTGCAGTATCCTTCCCCTGCCATGCCCACAAAGCCACGCCCACAGAACCAGTAGTAAATTTTTTTGAATCCCACCACTGATCAATAGACATAAGTAACAGTAACAGAGTTGGAAGGGATCTTGGAGGTCATCTAGTCCAACACCCTGCTCACACTTTATGCTATCAATGTCTTGTATGTTTATCAGATATACATTCCAGGAAGAAGTGCCAAAGGACTCCTGAGAAGTTCAAAAACAAACTTGCATGAAACAAGAGCTTCCGGGTTGATCTACCACATCCTTATTCCCTCTACTTCTTTGAGTAACATAATGCACCAATGGCTTGTTTACCTAACAGAGAGTCAATAGTTATTCTGAGATTATGTATTTGCACATCAATCAACATTGTATGCAGAAACATTTACAGATACCAGTATTAGTCATAGCAAAGAGAGAGAAAGAATGTTATCAAGTTAACTACCTAGATTATTTTATTCTGCCTATGTAGCAATAGTTTGTTATGTATTGCTTTAATTCACACAGTAAACCTGACCTGAAATAAATATTGCAAAGGGGAGCATATAATCCCTCCAATGGTGGGAAAGCCATAAGTAGATTTCCTAGCCTTGCTTTTTTTTCACCTCTGCAGCAGCCTCATAATAAAGAAATTAAACGGGGCAGAATTTTCCTGGCATAGAAATCAATGGCAGGGAGATGACTTCCCTGCTTCATCTGTGTAATCTCAGCTGCTAAAGTCAGCAGGAGAGTGTGGGCCAATCTAGAAAAAAAAAATAAAGAAAGCAAAAATAAAAAGCATATTTGCACATGGTCTAATCCTACATAGAACAAACAGAACAGAAATAGCAATGTGGCACAGATTGCGAGTTTGGTTGAAGCCAAGCAGATCTGGCTTTGATTAATATCTTGATGGGAGACAGAAGGTGGCTTCAGGAATGTACTAATATATCAAAACATGATCAACACATTTCTTTTTTTTAAAAACCCAGAAGAATCCTATTTTAGCAGTTGCAGCCTGGCGTGAAGAAAGTGAAGCTTCTCTCCAGACCAGGGACGCAATGACTCAGTGGCTTAAGGAGTAGAGATGGTCTTTCTTCCAGTGGTTCAAACCCTAGCACCAAATAGTGGGGTGAGCTTCCGTCACTCACCTCATCTTCTGCCCACCTAGCAGTTCAAAAGCATGTTACATGCAAGTAGATAAATAGGCACCACTTTGGTGGGGAGAGCTAGCGTTTCATGTGGATGGTTAGAATCCTGCTGACGATGTTCCTTTCAAGGTGCAACGCCCATTTGCAAGGCAGCTTCAGTGGAGGGACACTGCAGGAGAGCCGCAGAGGTAGCTCGTCCCCTGGGGCACACCTTGGAAAATGCACAAGTGTGAACCCAACAGGACTAGCAGTCTTAAGCAGTCAAACTACTACTCTGTATTAGTGTATTAGCATTGTACTCTCCTGGCTAGTGTGACTTTGCCATATATATATTATAATAATAATAATAAAAAAATCCAGACCAGACAGAGGGAAGACAAAAAAGCTTCAACTGGAGATAGTGATAGTGAAGACATAGTAACAGTAACAGAGTTGGAAGGGATCTTAGAGGCCATCTAGTCCAACCCCCTGCTCATACACGAGGCCAGATATAGCCCTCCATTGCATGGGAGTGCTGCTGGAAGAAACCTTGACCAAGTTGTAAGTGAGCCACCAAGCAGCTCAGATCTGGAGCCGCACCTTAGCCATACTGACAGTCATTTGGCCCCCTTTCTGCATGCATAGAGTTGTCCTTTTCCTCAAAGGCCATTCCAGCTGTCTCACTAATCTCAGCTCTTGAGCAATAGGACAGGCAAAGCACTTCCACAGGAAGCCATGGTGAAAGTGGGTGGGGCCCAAATCCATTCCACCCCAGGCAATTTAAAAGCTATCAATTATTTTGCTGGACGCCTCGAACAAACAAAAGAGAAAAACAATGACTTAAGCACGCACACAAGACCTTCCAACTGTCTGTTTTGCAGTTGGACTCTCAATGGCTGTAATAGATCATTCAGGGTTTCCAAAGGAGAAGCAGATATCATCCTTCATCAGATCATTGCGCAGAACCCTTGCTTCGTGTGGGGCCACTAAAAAGTGGCCAGATGCAAAGGAGGAGGAGTGGAGACGGCAAATATTTCACAACTGGATAGCAGATGGAATTCCAGCAGGTTCTGCTTTTTTCCCCTTTATGCACCCTTCTTTGCTTGAGTGCACATTGTGTCCATTTCAAAAAGGATGTTTCAGCAGAACGATAGAAGTTTCGAAATAACCCACAAAGCAACCTCTATCCCTTAGTGGGCAGAGGCAACTTCCCCATTTGGGACAGGTTGGTTGACAAGGTAAAATAATCAAATCAACTAGAAAAAGAGGCACGTGTCTTATATTTTGGTGACTCTCTGGAGAAAAGGTCTCCAACTCTTTTTGACTGGGCAACCTTAGTAGTGAAACGTTTTGAGCCCGCACTCTGAATACATGTTTAATTCTTTATTTATACATTATATACACACATTGCGGTAGTAATAGATGAGGTACATTGTAAAACATTCTGTCTCGTACTTTGTATATTAATTAGCATATCTTTCTTTAGATTAAAAAAATAAATAAAAAATCTTTCATATTTTGGTAGATGTTGCTACTCTAAGTAGACTTTTTGCCTTCTAATTTCTTTATCTAACAACAAGGGCACAAAAAAAGATATTTATGTCTACCCATTCTTTTACTTAAATATCCATTGGCTTAGGTAATTTTGATCTTTTCTCATATGAGCAGCACAACCAAAATTTTAGATAGATATTAGGCAACCCAGGATAACCCATTGGGTTATCTTTTGAGAGATCAAAAAGAGGAGGGGGTCAATTTATTTTCCAAAGCACCAGAAGGCAAGACAAGAAACAATGGATGGAGACTAGTCAAAGAGAGAAGCAACATGGAATTAAGGAGAAACTTCCTAAGAGTGAGGACAACTAACCAGTGGGACAGCTTCCCTTCAGAAGTTGTGGGTGCTTCATCCCTGGAGGTTTTAAAGAAGAGATTGGACAGCCACTTGTTGAAATGGTATAAGGTCTCCTGCTTGAGCAGGGGCTGGACTAAAAGACCTCCATGGTCCCTTCCAGTTATATTTTGATTGATTGAGCATATATCATAAATGAACTTCAAAAATAGGTCAATATTTCTTTACTTAAAGAGATAACCAGAATGACCATGGGAGCAGGAGCAATTTCCAACTTCTTGCTGACTTCCCCACTGACTTTGCTTATGGGAAACTGACAGGGAATGTTGGAAATCATGATTATATGACTGTTGGGATGCTGCAGCGGCCTCAATTTTGCAAATAAAACTGGTCTGACCATGGTGGAAATTTCAATTTCATAGGAGTAATGTGAACCAGATATGTCTATGTTTAAGATAGCAGGTTTTAGGTACCTTGAGGGAAAAATCGCTTCAATATAATGCGCTGTTTGGACTAACTTGAGGGTACAAACAGACAAACAGATGAATACAACAACAATTTTAGTAGTACATAGATATTACAAAGCATCTTTTATATGTTGTGATGCTTTAGCATACCACCTACATTCAAGGAATTATAATTATAATTATATACTCCATCATAAAAGAGATAATTATGATGAGAGCTAGGGGAAAATAGTGAGCGAAGGACTAGATTATTTATTAGGGATGGCAAATAAATGAATGGTCTCAAAGATTTGTGAGTTTGGATGAGAGATCCAAAGGGAGGGAAGAATCTTTCTCCAGTTGAACTTCATTTCTGATGACTGCATAAACCTATGCTATCTTCTTGGCAGCAATATGGAAGTAATTTGTCTTTTTTTTAAAGGATTTCTTTAGTTTCCAATTCTGGTTGGCAGTCCTGCGATTTTTTGGGGTGGTTTTCCATCCAAGTAATAACTGGATCCATCCTTCATAGCTTTACTGATTACTGAAGGACAGCTAAATGGGAGAAAGCAAAAGGGGCTGAATAGCTTCATTTGAGGAATTGGAAGACCTTGGAGAGCTGAGGGCGGGAGATTTGGCTGAAATAACTGAAAGATCTAGATACAATATAGGACTGGAGATATATGGGCTAAGCCTTAACTATGGCTTAGAATAGAGGGAATATATTTTTTCTCTATTCTAAGCTATAAAACAGGGCGTCAAAACTCGTGGAGTCACGTCATCATGTGATTACTTTTCCCCCCTTCGCTAAACTGGGGGTGGGGGTGGCCAGCAGGCCTCGAGTTTGACACCCCTGCTATAAAATATGTTTTCAAGATAAGAGATCCAAGGTCTTTCCAGATAGGCCTGGAAAAACTTTTGCATGAAAACCTGACAGCAGCTTTTACTGTTAGTAAGGGTCAAATACAAAACTTACCCAGGTATTGTGAAAACAAGGAGAAAGAGTTTTTACTTGATCTGGGAGCAGTCAGGATGTTGGAATTTGAGGAGGAGCTCAAGAAGTGAAGAGTTTTTGGCATTGGAACGCAAAACAGAAATAACACATAATAATACAAAAGTATGTACTATGTACACATGCAACTGGTGTACAGACAATCCATGCCTACCACAAAGAGAGAGCAAGTTGCCTCACCAGACAATCCTTTATGAAGGGCAACATTTGAAGTATTAATGGGAACCTGGCATGGTCAGTATATATTTGCTCTTAGATGCAAACCCAAGGTGGAGTTTCCTAGTCTTCCACCACTCAGAGTGAAGCTCAGTCAGTCAATTATGTTTGATTTACAAATGTCCCCTGTTGGCTGCCACAGAAGATGGGTAAAATACAATAAGAAGAAGAACAGAAGTGAAAAATTCAGGATTTAGTCCTCAGTGAAAATGTAGATGCAATTTCGTGACAGTCAGGAGGGCAAATGAAGGTCAAAGAACTTAGCCATGAGGAGAAGGGGTGTACAGCTCCCAACATGTTAGCGATGGCAGTGGATTTTCTGGGTAAACTTGTAAATCACTCCTTTATAGGCCTCACGGAACTGCCGGTTCATGGCTGCATAAAGTAGAGGGTTAATACAGCTGTTCAGCCATGTCAGATTGGCAGCAATCACGTGCAGGAGAGTGGGAGCCTTGTTTTTGGCATCAAAGATGTTGATGAGCAAAAAAGGGACATAGCAAAGAACAAAGAAAATAAAAACCACAAAGCACATGCGGGTCACCCGCTGGAAGTCGGAGTTGCTATCCTTGGGTTTGCAGAGGGTCGCTTTCTTTGATGGGACCACAGGCTGAGCTGCAGGAGGAGCCGTGCTGCTGTCCAAACTCGGGGGAATGCTCGTCTTGGATGTGGGCTCAGAGGGCATACTCTCACAGGATTGCTGTGAAGCAGCTGCACTGTCCACCCCACTGTCCAGCTCGTGGTACTGTCCTGGTGTAGTTGAGTTGGTTCCAGCTACATGAGCTCCCTTCAAGCTGGCCTTCTTCAGCTTGTATTGATCCAAGGCCTGGGCAGCACTCTTGACTTTGCGATGGATGAGGAAATAAAAGATGCCAACACAGCTCAGTCCCACCACAAAGTAGAAGCCCAGGAGAATGGTGGTGTAGGGCTTCCCACGGATGCGATGGAAGCTGCAGGTACAGACTTTGGGGACCAAGACATAAACATGCCACAGGGGGGCAAAACTGACAATTCCAACCACCCAGCTCCCCAGGGAAATTAGTATCACTCCCACACGGGTGAAGATACGGTCAAAGAGAGCCGTGTTGGCAATGAGGAGGTAGCGGCTCACTGCTATGAGACAGAGAGTCAAGATGGAGACCGAGTTGGAGACAAACAGCAGCATCCCAAAGACACGGCAGAAATCAGCGCCCGCCCTCCAGTAGAGATTCAGGTAGGAGTCAATGGAAAAGGGCTGCAAAAAGGTGCAATACAGGATGTCGGCCAAAGTCAAGTTGACAATGAGAACGTTGAAGCGTGTTTGCAGTTTGGGGTCAACAGCATATGCTAACAGAGTTAATATATTGCCCACTGTGCCCACTATTGTGACCACAATGCCCCAGCTCACTGACAGGTAGCGGTAACCAACAAGGGATGGGTCATAGCAGGAGAAGTTGCTAGCAGGATTTTCCATCTTGGCAGGAAGTGGTCCCAACTAGGCCTCCCTCTGGGGGAAAGCTTGGAAGCAACCACAGCAGTATTGGTTCTAGAAGAAAGGCGAGATGGACAGAATTAACCCAAAGTAAGTTCTAATTAACAGAGATTTCAGCGCAGGCATAAGGATTGTCATTCAATATATAATATACATCATGTATAAAATTAAATATGTAATCAATTCATAAGATTGTTGGGTAGAGGCCATCATTAAAGCCAATAGCATAAATACTATTTGCAAAGGGTAAATGCATTGGAAGATAGAATTCTACAGATGGGTCTTAGCCTTGGTAACGGAGAACCAAACGTCCATTCATAAACAATATATCTCTGATGATCATATGTGGTTTACTCTGTTTTTCCAGAGTTTTTCCAGATCCAGTTTACTATCTCTGAGCCACTATCAACCAAATGGCTTGTTTATCCAGGGAAGCTTTCATAAAAGTAACACAACTTATTTTTTTTAGAAGAAAATCATCCATTAGACAGGGTGGTCAAGTCCATTCCAGAAGTGGTATTCAGCAGGTTCTGACCAGTTCTGGAGAACTGGTAGTGGAAATTTTGAGCAGTTCGGAGAACCGGAGAATCTCTGACTAGAGATTTTACAGTATCCTTCCCCTGCCATGCCAGCAAGCCACACCCACTGAACTTGTGGTAAAAAAAAGTTGAATCCCACCACTGGTCCATTCAGTTTAAATATATACTATATTGTGAAATTATTGTTATATCATGAAATACTGGGGGGCATTTCATAACAGTATCACTTCTAAACACTCTAACAATATTGGTCCCAAACAATCTTATCTTCTGGGCTTTCTCCCGATAGATTATTGACACCAAATCATTTCAGGGGCAGGGTTTGCTATGCTCCTCGAGAGAAAAATTTCCTGTGTCCTTTGGAAATTCCAATATGATGATCAAAAGAAGATTGGAAAACATTGGAGATCAACAAGCAACAAATATTCTGCTAGCCTTCCACAATTACCATGATTAAACCTACTACAGTACTTATTTTATTTTATGCACATGCACACACGTACTTGCAACATAATTCCTTTCAGGGAACAGAGATAAAAGTTTTAACCCATTTCTTCTTCCTTATTGGGCCTAATTGGGATATTGGCAAGGAAACTTTTTTCAAATTGTTTCCTTTTTTATATCATTTTATTAATTGTTGACTTCTCCCAAAGGTAAGATGTAAAGAATAATTAAGTGCACCACCCAAACTCTCAAGAGCTCTAGAGTATCACCCTGGCATCTAAAACATTAGTAATTTTCATTTAAGAAGGAAAAGCTTTTTAATGCAATCTTCTCCAATCTTCATCAATTGTGATGACACTTGAAGAATAGTATGTTGGAGATATAGAAGAATGTCTTAAGATCCTGAATAGTCTTCCTATACAATTCTATTAAGTTCATTGCCAACAAAATCTCAACCCTTTTGACAAACTGGATCCTTTTATACTATAGAACTCTGGTGGCAAAATGTTCATTTAAACTTCCGGTTTGTCGGCTTCGCGAGCGGCAGGGATTTGCGAAGCTGCGCGATCCCTGCCGCGCTAGCCGTTTTTGGGGCTCCGACCCAGCCGGGTACGGAGCTAGGCTGCCCTGCAGGGGCAGCCGAAGGTAGGGGGGATCCGGAGAAGGGTTTGGGGGTGCTGCAGACCCCCTCCCTGGCCGGCAGAACCCCCTTTTCCCAGGACGGTGCAGCGGCGGTCCGTAATGGCCGCCACAAAGAAGCTGGCAGCCGGGTAAGAATGCGCAGGAGGAAGTGGAGAAAGTGATTGAGAGGAGAAAGTTTTTCTTGGCTCCTAGGACTCTAAGACATATTTAATAAAATTCCTGAAAAGTATGACTTTCTGAATAATACCTGCCAGAAGAGGAAAAAAGCGGCTGCTTGAAGGTGCTGAAAGGATAGCTTTCCCTCTTTTCCTACGGAATAAATAACTGGATATTAAGAAACCTATTTTTTAGGTGGAAATTGGTTTTAAGCGATGAGTGGGAAGAGAGAGGATTAAAAAGAAAATATTTGTATGCTAAGATTTGTTGGAGCAGATGCCTTAAGGATTTGAAGACTAGAATATATTGTAACAAGACTTTAAACAGATTATGGACTTTCTTTCTCTTTGATTGATATCACCCCAGAAGGAGAAAGTGAGAACTCTGCCTTGGTTTGGACTGATTGATAACTTTGGGACTGTTCTATCTTTTTTATTTTCTTTTGAATATTCTGGTTGTTGTAAGAAGAAAGAAGGAGAAAAGAAAAGAAAAGATTTATAATGGCTCTTTCTGTTGAGGAACTAAGAAATGGTGTGGAAGAAGCTTTCCTTTTCTTAGAAATGGCGCTTACTAATTATCAACAAAAATTACAACAGATGAAGACAGCAGAGGAACAAGAAAGAAAGGAAGGAGCCATCTTTAATGAATCTCAGAAAAAAGAAAGAGAGAAAGAAAAGAAAAGAAGAGAAAAGAAGAAAACTAAAGGATTTAAGGACTTAAGATCTAAAAAAACATTTAAGAAAGGGAAAAATAAAGTGCAAAACCAATATGATGATTGTAAACAAAGGGGAAAAGAAATACGACAGAGAAGGGAAGCCGGTAAGGCAGAGGCTAGAAGAAGGGGGGGTAGAAAGGTTTGTTGGGAAAAGAAAGAAAGGGAAAAGGTGGAGAAAAGCTACAACGTTTTGAAATTAAATGGAAAAAAGGAATTTTTTATGGATAATGGATAAAGTATAATTTAAAAAAAAAAAAAGATTTTGCAAGGTACATAAGATGAGATGGTAGTATTGCAATGGTTTAAGAGTTGATAAGAGATTAAAATGTTAAAATGTTTAAAAATGATTGGTTTTAAAACTTAATAATAGGAGAGGTTTAGAATATTGTTTTAATTAAAGAGTTTAATAAAATTATGGTATTGATGTTATTATAAAATTTTTATTATAGTATTTCTTTTTAATATTTGGATTTATTCTCTAATTATGCACTTAATTGTGTTGGATGTATTAGTTAGATAGAATGTACCAAGCAAAATCTGATTGGGTATTAGATATTATTTTAAAGATTAATTTGATTAACTTAGGGGGGAGATAGAAAGGCATCATACTCTGATTAATGATTTCAGGAGAAACTGATTTTCTTTTTTTTCATAAGGGATGAGACAAAGGGATGATAAAAAATGGACAAAAGATACAAATATAATGATTTAAACTAAGATGATTAATTAAGGTAGAATTAAGAAGTGTGAAATATGTGGAGAAGTTAATATAGAAGGCTTAGAATGGTAAATAAAATAAGTAATGATATGTAAGATGAGCATGAATATAATTGAAGTCCATGAAGAGAGAGACACCTGGGTCCAAGTTACTTTCCAAAAAGATAATTTTTTTATGTTTTGTGTGTTGTGTGTATATGTCTTTTTTGGGGGGAGAATTGGTAAAAACTTGTAGAAATATAGAATGAGAATAATGGTAACTAAGTCAGAAAGAAACAGATGAAATAATAATAATGATATTGAATAAGAGTAAAGAGAAGTAAAGAGAAATTGAATAAGAGGTTTTGGTATATTATATGGAAATGGTTTAAAACAGAGTCATAATTTATCTGACTTGTTAAATTTACAAGGGAAAAAGGTTTAAACATGTAATGAATAATGATAATTTGTGTGTTTTAAAAATTAATAAAACTTGTTTTTTTTTTTTTTTAAAAAAAGACTTTCCTCCCCTTCTCTTTTCCATTTCCTTCTTCCCTTTCCTGTCATACTTTCTTATCACTTTTTGTCACTTGTGGGTTTTTCTCCTTTTTTCTTTGTCCATCAAATTCATTGTCCCAGGAAAGGGAGTGTTTGAGAAAAACCTGAACTATCCAAATTGCCAGTGAATGAATAATTATTAGTTTTACTTTCTTGATCGAAGAGCATTCATCTACCTGGCCATTTCCTATTGTGGCACAGCCTGGATACTGCTCCATGAAAATTGTTTTCCCTCTCCCCCGAAATTGGAAGGGAGAAAGATACTGCACTATCTTCTCTTCAGTAGTTCAAAAATCCTTCTTTCAACCTATTTTCTATCAAGACCTCTTTGGGGAAACAGATGGAAGTTATCCAGTCAACCCCACACTTTCAGCTGGTCTTCCATCAAGTTCAATGCTCTCCAGATTGCTGAATTATACAGTATGTCCTATACACCCTGCCCCTTCTTTTCAACAGCCAGAACTTCCCTCCCTGGCCAAGTCTTAAGAGTGATAAAATCTATCACTATAGACTTTTTCTGAGTTCTTGTGTGTGACAAAGAAACTAATCTGTAATCCTGAAGGATCCTTGGGTACTTCTGTTATCTCCCCACCCCTTATGAAAATCTATGGATTTGTGTCTTTTTGGTCAGTTAAGGCTCCCCCCCCTTTTTTTCTTTGACCATTGAATTCAATGTCTCCAGCATATTTGAACAGGAAGTAAGTAGATGACTTGTCTTCTGCAAGTTTCAGCTTCACGTTTCTGCCTGAAGCAAAATCTTGAAAATTGTTGGCAAATCTATGTATACGTTGTTGAGCAGATGCCAAACTTGACATGAGCAAAGAACTTCAGCTTGCAATCTACTTGCTGGAATTCCCTCTTTTACACAATATTTGGCGATGTAAGGAACCGTGTGCCCATTTCCCTTCAACAGGCTGTGAGGGTGGCACGCAATGAGGTCAGGAGTAAACAGAACCAAAAAAACCTTTGGAGGCTGATACAGGCATGGCTGAATGGAAGCTGTTCACTATAGCATTTCTTTCTGCCCACTCACCCCCTAAAATTACAGTTATGGTTATTCATGTTATTATTTTACTTTAACAATTTATTTTCTAATACAAAATGGTGTTTATCCCTAACAACATTAATTAATGATCACAGGAAGCCATCATTAAGATTTATAATTATGGGATTTAAAATTTGCCTTACTATACCCTCAATCTCCAACCAGTTTCACCCTGTTCCTGGGTCTTAAGAACATATTGATCCCCCAAAATCAACAATTAGTAAGTTTCACAGCAAGAAAATAAGTGTGATATGACAGCTTGAAGCTATCATGATATATTTAAGAACTGAGGCTGATGCATGCAATGTCTTCTCACAGACTTTCAGAATTCTACCCATACAGGAGGCATAGAAAGCAGCAAATAAATTCACAAAACAAGAAGCACACCGATAATTTCTCATTTTAGTTTTGTCTTGAATTTAACTTTCCTTATATGAAGTAAACAAAAATGACTTACTGGGAACACAAGAACCAGAAGACTCCAAGAGTTGAATGTTCAATGTCTGCTGTTCCCACAATCTCCACCCTTTTTATTTTTCGACACCCATATTTATAAAGGTTCCTTCCAGGCTTGAATTAGGAAAGAAAAGTCCCCGGTTTCCAAACTCCCTGAAGTAACTTCCTCTTGTGACACCCTTGAACGCCTATTCGCTAGACTGATATGTTCTTAGAGAACTTGCCCAGCACAGATCCTGGCCTTTAAGAATGCCTGCAAACTCGCCCTCTGCAATTAGCATGAGTTTTAAAGGAGCCTCAATAAAGATTAAACATTAAACCTAACTTACGTGGGATGAAAAGGAGAGAGGCAAGGAAAAAATAGTGCTGATTCAGCCCAACCAATTTTGTTGACTTTCTGAGCAGAAAGCATACAAAAACTGAAAGGAAGGTACACTCATTGTCATTAAAGGTTTGCTATCTCAAATGTGCTCCTTTGTAATTCAGAGTTCAACTTTCCATTCCCCAAAGTCAAGGGTATATGTGTATCTACTGCATGTTAAAATCCTTTGTGTAGTGGCCTACAGCTTTTTAAAGGTCATCAGCATTTTATATAATAGACACAGCTTTGTTCAAAGGATTTAGCATTCATGTGTGTGTGTGTGTACATGTGTATGCGCGCATGCCCCTTCAAATCAGTGTTGACATCTGATGAAAAAAAAAATCCCTGCAGTTTTCTTGGCAAGATTTTGGGAAGTAGCTTTCCTCCTTCCTAAGGTTGAGCCAGAACGACTGGCTCAAGATCATCCAGCTGGCTTCATGTCTAAGATGAGAGTAAAACTCACAGTCTCCCCATTTCTAATTTCATGCCCTGAACCACAAGACCAACTGGGCTTTTAGAATATGATAAGTATACCACATGATTTTTAGAGTAAGATAAATAACAAGGGAGTATATGGAAATAATTCCATCCTTCCTTGGTGGTGGTGCAACTGTTCACCTATGGAGAACAAAAAATAAAGGCAAGGGTTGGCCATTGTAGGAAGGAAGAGGATGCTCTAGTCCAGGGGTGTCCAACCTTGGCAACTTTGCTGGCTGAGGAATTCTGGGAGTTGAAGTCCACAAGTCTTAAAGTTGCCAAGGTTGGACACCCCTGCTCTAGTCTATACAGTGTATTGCTCTGTTCTAGTTGGGCTTTTTTTTTTTTTTTTTTTTGCATTCTGGTATACTGTGCAAAAGTTTCTCCTTCCTTCTCAAAACATTGTGCGAACAAAATGTTGGCACTTGTCATAAGAGAAGCCATTTTGTAGGCAGCTAGACTAATCAGAGAAGACAAAAGTACATTTCCAAAGGTCTGATTTACTAGCAAATGATGGACAATTGAAACAAGATGCCCTGTTTCCGGGAGATTGTGCATCCAAAGACTACCAGGTATGTCTTAGAAACATTAGAATTACAGGGCTGGAAGGGACCTCAAAGATCTTCTAGTCCAAACCCCTACTCAAAGTAGAGTCCAGAGGTGGTATTCAGCAGGTTCTGACCAGTTCTGGAGAACCAGTAGCGGAAATTTTGAGTAGTTCAGAGAACCGGCAAATACCACCTCTGACTGGCCCCGCCCCCAATCTATTCTCTGCCTCCCAAGTCCCAGCTGATTGGCTGGGTCTTCTTTGGCTGCCCTGCACAGGAGAACGGAGCTGGAAAGCAGGTTAGTGGGGTGGGGAAGGACTGGGGATTTTGCAGTATCCTTCCTCTGCCATGCCTGCCAAGCCACGCCCACCAAGCCATGCCACGCCCACAGAACCGGTAGTAAAAAATATTGAATCCCACCACTGGTAGAGTCTTATACCATCCCAGTCAAATGGAACACAAAGATTGACTTTTCTTTCTGTACATGCCAATACCTGAGACTCTGTTGTTTTCTAGGCAAACCTAGTTATGTGAGATGCTGTTTCGATAGTATTTGTTTCTCTTTTCTTTAAATATGCACCTATTTCTTAAAGATCACAGACCAACTTTGCAGGCAATGATTGCAAGCTCTTGCAACATGGACTGGAAAACTGTGCCCTGTTCTGAAGCTGCTGGATCACATTTTCTGCTCTTGGCTATGCTATGTACGGGGATTTGAGCCTAACAACATGTGAAGAGCAACATGCTTTCCCTACCTTTGCCTGCAGTCTGATAAAGCTTCAGAAATATGTAGGAAAAAATGGAGCTGCTTAGCAACCTTCCAAACTAAGATCCAAACTGAAAATGTTGTCTCATCTGATTAAAAACAGAGCTGGCACTATCCCATGGCCTGTGGTTTTGGGGTAAGATAAGGCCTTTTGGCTGGTGTTTTGTTTATCTTGCACATTTTGGAATGCTTACATGATTCATTCTTTCTTTCTTTCTTTCTTTCTTTCTTTCTTTCTTTCTTTCTTTCTTGTGCACACAAAAACTGTGGCAGCTGACAGATGAGAAAGGATGTGCTAAAAGCTTAAAGGGATAATATTGACTTAGGAGACAGCAGTTTAAAGAAGAAAGTGAAATCTTGGCCTGGCTATTAACATTTGCCTCTCCCAGGCCTTATAGAGGGCTTCAAGGCAGGCCCAGAAACATATTATATAATACATAGATCTTAGGAAGAAAATTTCCTTCCTCACCAAGTAGTTTTATTTCCAAGCTGGGAGGAAATCAAATGCTAGATGATTGGTAAAGAGATAAGAAAGATTTTATTTTGCCCAAGATTAACAGAGGATGTTGGATGGCAACTGCACCTTTGTCAACTATTTTATAAAAAATTATATTTCATAGGTTTGAGCCAATCATTAAATATAAGGGCACAGTGAATCAACCAATCATATTGCTCTCCTCCTGTTCAGGTTCTCTTATGCTGCTCGATTGTGCAAAAGTAGCTGGGGCAGGTGGTTTTCTTCACAACGCTTAGAAAAGTATCAGTGGACAGTCTCAGAAGTATTTATTTATTTATTTATTTATTTGATTTGCCAATTGTTTACAAGATAATAAGTATAAATGTATACATAGTTGTGAATACATGAAATGGGTACATATAAGAAAAATAAAAGAATAAGAGAAACAATAGGACAGGGACGGTAGGCACGTTGGTGCGCTTATGCACGCCCCCTACAGACCTCTTAGGAAAGGGGTGAGGTCAATAGTAGACAGTCTAAGGTTAAAGTTTTTGGGGTTTGGGGAAGAAACTACAGAGTCGGGTAGAGTATTCCAGACATTGACCACTCTATTGCTGAAGTCGTATTTCCTGCAATCAAGTTTGGTGCGGTTTACTTTGAGTTTGTATCTATTGTGTGCTCTTGTGTTGTTATGGTTGAAGCTGAAGTATTCATTGACAGGTAGGACATTGCAATGTATGATTTTATATACCATGCTTAAGTCAGACCGAAGACGGCGTAATTCAAGGTTTTCAAGTTCTAGAATTTCAAGTCTGGTGGCATAAGGTATTCTACAACGAGTAGAGGAGTGGAGAACTCTTCTTGTGAAATATTTCTGGACTTTCTCAATTGTGCTAATATCAGATACGTAGTGTGGGTTCCAGACTGATGAACTGTATTCGAGTATTGGTCTAGCAAATGTTTTGTATGCTCTGGTTAGTAGTGTGATATTACCAGAGAAAAAGCTACGTAGGATTAGGTTAACAACTCTTAATGCCTTTTTGGCTATGTAGTTGCAGTGGGCTCTAGCACTTAGATCATTAGAGGTGAGTATTCCAAGGTCCTTTACAGAGCTTGAGTCATCAGCAAGATCTTGACTATTCAGCTTGTATTTTATTTTCTGATTTTTTTTGCCAATATGTAAGACAGAGCATTTATTTGTTGAGATTTGAAGTTGCCATTTGTTTGACCACTCTGATACATAGTCAAGATCTTTTTGTAGGGTAGCAGTATTGTCTGTGGTATTGAACAGCTTTACATCATCAGCGAAGAGAACGCAATTGCTCTTAATATGATCACAGAGGTCGTTTATGTAGAGTATGAAGAGAGTTGGTCCTAGAACACTGCCTTGGGGAACACCACTATTGACAGGTACTGGATTTGATAGGACGCTCCCGATTTTGACCATTTGTTGTCTGTTTGACAGGAATGCTTCTATCCAGTTATTCAGTTGTCCAGAGATACCATAGGATTTTATTTTTAGGAGTAGTTTGTCGTGTACCACTGAATCAAAGGCTTTACAGAAGTCTATGTAGATTGCGTCTATTGTTTTGCCCTGGTCGAGTTGTGTCGTCCATATGTTTTTGCAGTGTAAGAGTTGCAGATTACAGGATAGTTTTTTTCTGAAACCAAATTGTTTATTGGAGAGTAGGTTATTTGTCTCTAAGTGAAGGATGATGGATTGGTTAATAATTGATTCCATGACTTTACAGGTGACGCAGCATAAGGAGATTGGCCTGTAATTTTCAACTAGGCTTGGGTCTCCCTTTTTGAAGATGGGGATGACTGTGGCTTGTGACCATAGGTTAGGCAAGGAGCTGGTCCTGAAAGATTTTTCAAAGATTATGCTTAGAGGTTTGGCTATGGCAGTGGATAGCTTTCTTAAGAAGTAGGCACATATTCCATCCGGTCCAATAGATAGAGATGGTTTTAGGTTGCGTAGTGCTTTTTCAACATTGTCTTCTGTGAAATCGATATGTATTAGATCATTGTTGTTATCTGTGGTACGGCTAGGAAATACTGGGCATGATCCATTGCTGTTTACAAATACTGAGCCGAAGAATGTGTTAAAGATGTTGGCTTTAATGGTGTCGTCGTTGCAGTCTTTACCATCAGGTCCTATCAAGGGAGGGATGGACCTTGAGTCTTTTAGTTTGTTGTTTACAAAATTGTAAAAAGCACGGGTGGAATTGGTGCTTAGAAGGTTTTCCTCTTGTTTAATGTGATAATTGGTGCATTCGGTCTTTATCTGGTGGCATAAATTTTTGTATCGGTTTTTGAAATTGGCAACGTGACCAGATTTGTTTTTCCGCCAGAGTGATCTCTTTTTGGATTGAAGTTTCCTTATTGATATGGGTAATCTGCTTTTTTGTTTTGTTTTGGGAGTTGTTGTTGG